CTTCTCCTGATCACTTTGCATAATCTTAAGATTATATTAAATATGTTTTGAGGGTTTCAGAGATATTAATATATAAAAGAAAAAAAATATGTTTTCAGCCATTCTTTAAAAAAATATTAAAAATACAAGAAATGTCCTGAAATCAAAACTATACTAGCGGCCCTGAAAATACTATAATTGCTCAGCTTTGTAACATGTTATGCTGTGCATAAATTTAGTTTTGAAAGTAATCTGAACGCCATGAGTTACTGTCTATTCGTTTCGATGATGAAATACTTTTAGTCTAAAGATATTGACACTTAAAAAATCAACTTTAGATCCGAAACTCTTATCCCAGAGACCTCAGCAACTGCGGTTAGGGGCCTGCTAACCAGAGCTGCAACAAGTCCAAGTTTTATAAAGGCTGAAGTCTTAAGTCATTTCTAAAATCAAAATGTTCAAATGATTTAAATCTTGAGTCATTTTATTTCAAGTCAAGTCATTTTTGTAAAGACTTAAGTCAATATAATGTTATTTAAGTCGTTTTTATGAATTAAGTCGATATTTTTGTCTTGAATCATGATGATCTGCAAGTTAAGTTAGTAAAATGACTTAAATCAATATAACTATCCTCAAGACAACCAGAATTCAATTTAAGTACCTTTTTTTAAATGTTATTATTTATTTTCTTGTATTACCAATTAGCTATTTTCTTACTAAGTATCATATTATTAATGTATTGTAGATGCAGATAAGACTAAAACCACATAAAATAAAACGGTTAATTTTCAGAACAACTACAAACAGAAAAATATGTTTTTTTTTTCTAAAATTTAACCGATTTTGTAGTATTTTATATGTATCTATTACAGATATATGTCATCGAATACATGTATATTAAACAGTGATTATGTGTTTTGATCACTATGTAATATATCGATGGCATAAGATAAGATAAGGGCGTGAGACAAGGAGATACCATCTCTCCCAAGTTATTTACACTGGCACTGGAAAATGTCTTCAAGAAATTAGAATGGAAAAATCGAGGTCTAAACATCGATGGGGACACCTTAGCCATCTTAGGTTCGCAAACGATATTGTCTTGCTGAGCACCGACATTCAAGAACTGAACACCATGCTAAAGGAGCTAAATGGCCAATCCCAGAAAATTGGCCTTAAAATGAACTTGAAGAAGACCAAGATAATGAGCAACAATATCCATAACATTACCGTAGACAACGTTATTATTGAAAACGTAGACCATTATATATATTTAGGTCATAAAATCAAGCTGGGTGAGGAGAACCAAAATACGGAGATCGAATGCAGGATCCATTTGGCATGGGTAGCATTTGGAAATATGAGCGACATTTTCAAGGATAAAAAAGTGTCTATCAACCTAAAGAAAAAGGCTTACGACAGCTGCATTCTACCTGTACTTACGTATGGCTTAGAGACTATCGCAATTAGCAGAAAAACAGCAGAACAACTACGAGTAGCACAAACAGCCATGGAAAGAATCACGTTGGGAGTCACCATTAGGGAAAAAATACAGAATACCCAATACGTCAAAAATCAAAATTAATAGATGTTATTAAAAGAGTGGCAAGTTTGAAGTGGCAATGGATAGGACATGTGGCAAGACAGGATCCAGACCGATGGCCCAAAATGTCATGCTATGGAGACTTAGGGGAACAACAAGTACTGTGGGCCGACTAAAAAAGAGATGGGTCGATGACGTCAGAGCAGTCGCGGGAAGACAATGGATAATATTGGCTAGACATAGCGAAGCGTGGAAATACCTAGAAGAGGCCTATATCCAACACTGGATGGAACCAGGCTGAGAAAGAAGAAGAAGAATAAGAGCTGTAGGATTTTAATGTACTCTTCAATATATTTGAGATATATTTCTTTCGTTCGTCTTTCGAGCTCCACAACGGAGTCGGGGATTCACTTGAAAGACAAAAGACTCATTACGCACGCGTAACACGACAAATAAAACCGGCTTCGAAAAACTAACATTTTATTTACTAGTGATTTTGAGCATTGTTTTTTTCGAGGTTTTTTTAGTCTGCTGCCTGGAAAGAAATGCGGTTGTTAAAAATTTATCATAAAAATATATAAAAATACGATTTAAGTCTTTTATAAAAAGACATAAATCTTTTAATGACTTAAGTCTTTTCTAAAGGGACTTAAATCTTCTTTATGTTAATTATTTATGTTAACTAATTACTATAGTTATATAAATTAATAATGTTATGTATTTATTTATCACCCAGAGACTCTCACATTCAAATTAAGAATATTACGTTGTGGAAGACACTGTATACTAGCACTGAAGCTAATATTAGAGAATAAATATCCGGACTCAACAATGTCGCTCATGCAACATTAATGAAGTATTGCCGCAAGTGTGTAATGGCAATAATTTGTTTGGTTTATACGTAGTGGCACGTATAAAAGTATTAATGGGAAATTTTATGATGTTTGGGTCGTGAGTATTCGGACCTCTAAAAGTGATGTGATGATTATTACACCAGTAATATTCGATAGGATTAATAAAATTTTTATTAGTCTGTAAACAACACATTCTTTAATTTTTGACGGTTTTTCTATAGAAATATTTCTTTCGGTGATGAGAAATTTACAGTTGAGGGTTGGAATCTTTGGTCTTACACAGCAAAATAAAACACTAAATCAGTACAATACACCAAAACACTTTTACTTTTACACTGGACGCGCGTTTCGCTAACCATCATCAGCAGATGATTAAAACTAAACTAAAATCTAAAAATTGAGCCTTTTTTTTCTTTTGTCAAAGATGATAGCAGATGTTAAAAAAACTCTAAAACAATGTAGCAACCTTATTGATCTTTCTTTAAAAAGAAAACTGCAGGTATAGCAGTATATATATCTCAGTACCAAAATTGTATTCGTTGCCTAAAATTCAATAGCCGGATAAATTTATGCGCCCAATTATTTCAGCTGTAGGTTCTCCAACTTATAATTAGACAAAATGGTTATCAGGGGAGTTCAAAAATTTACCTAATCATGAGTTTATAACAAAATTAAGAATATAACATTACATGATGGTGAAATTTTGGGCTCCTTTGATGCATCTTCGTTGTTCCCTCCTAGCGATAGCGTTCCAATTCCACATACTTTGAGCCATTTGAAGAAATTACTGAACGCAAATTGTCTCGAAACAAAACTGTGACTGAATATATTGAGCTTACGTCGCTATGTATGAAACAAAATTGTTTTCATTTAATAACAACTTTTTTGAACAACGGGAAGGTACGGCAATCGGTAACCAATTGTCTCTATTTCTGGCTAATCTATTCATGAGCAGGTTTGAAGTGGATGCTAAAAATCAGTTTGAGTATATTCCAAGAGTATGGCTTAGGTATGTTGATGATATTTTTGCTGTTTTTGACACACATTCTGACACAATTTTATTTCCAAATTAAATAATCGTTTTCCTTCCATTAAATTTACCTATGAAATTGAGAACTATATTACCATTTCTAGATGTATTAGTTATTAGAAATACTACTAATTACTAATTGCCTGGAATTTGATATCTATAGAAAAAATACCACTACATGCAAATATATTCCTAATGAGTCGTATCATAGTGTTGAACATAAGATGGCTTTTTTAAATTTCTTAGTTTATAGATTACTTAGTTTTCCACTTACCATCGAAAGATATGAAACAGAAAGAAATTACATTAGGAGTATAGCTGAGTGAAATGGATATGCTTCTTAATTAGTGGATAAAATATTTAGAAAACGTAGGTATAAATTTGCGATTGCTGAAAATTCGACTTTCCAAGTGGAGAAAGATACTTCAAAGTATTTTTCAATACCGTTTGATAGAGACTTATCCCGTGGTTTAAGAAGAATTTTTAAGAATGTCAATTAAAAACTTGCCTATAATGCTAATAATAAATTACAAGTATATCCTAAAGATAAAACACTTCCACTAGAAAGGTGTGGTATTCATTAAATTTCTTGTAAAGATTGTAATCAGAAATATGTTGGGCAAACTAGAAGATCAATATTAACTAGATTTAAAGAACATATAGCTCAGATAAGATATGGGAGACCGGATAAATCTTGCGTTGTTGAACATATTGTTGATAAAGAACATTGTATAGATATTAATAATTTAAAATTAGTTAAACAAGGCTTAAATTACAGGAAATCAGATGCATATGAGAGCGTCAAAATTAATAAATGTAGGGATAGTATGAACAGAGACAACGGCCCATTTCCTTCCAGTTCTCTGTTCCTACTGCTCTAGTTTCGGTAATTAATTGTTACGCTCGGTTGGTTTAGACTCGCTTGACAATATGGCCAAAATATCGGAAGATTGACTGATTTAATCTGGTAACCAGCCGTGTCTCAATTTTGTAGTTCCTCTATAATGGAAATGTTTGTTCGATGAGCCGTCCATGGTATTCGCAGCAGCCGTCGATATACTCACATCTCCAAGGTATGGTACCCACATCATGGTACCCACGAGGAATTAAGAGACCTAGAGGAAGACCAGACTTAAGATGGGACCATGATATTAGGGAATTAGCAAGGATAACTCGGGCCCGCATAGCCAGCAATAGACAACAATGGGCCCAACTACAAAGAGTCTATCTAAATATGTGAGGGAGGCTACATCATAATTGGAAATGGTTGAATATCCGTATGTTCAAAAATACTGGATATATATAAAAAATATTTAAATTTCTCAGAAATATGTTGAAAGTTTCTACAACCTATCAAATTGCAAATAAAATAGTCAATATTGAATTATTTCATTTCGTATAATGGGGAGCTTCAAAAATAAAAAAAACGATTCAGAAATAGTCTAATTTTTCTTAATACTTATTACTAAAAAATTATTTATATAAAGAAGAAATTGTTTATGTTATGCAGTATAATAAAGCAGAACAAATTTAATACCGTACTATACTAAATTGTGTGCATATTAATATGTTAATTTGAATATTGTTGTTGCAGACAAACAGCCAAGATGAAGATGAGCAAAGTGGGCAATCAGACCAACTCGCAGGACCCGCAAGCGGTCAATTCTCGAGTGTTTGTCGGTAATTTAAACACATTCCAGTGCTCGAAAACCGACGTGGAACGCATGTTCCAGCGATATGGACGACTGGCCGGTAAGTAATTTCAATTAGTTGTATATGTTATTTTCGCTTACCGCAAGACCGTATTTTTAAAAGCTCGTATTTTTCAAAATTAAAAAACAACTTATATAATAATTCGAAAAATTACGACATTTTAGGAAATGATACACACATGAAGTATACGGTCTCTAATCTAGATTTATTAAAGCTCTCTCAAAATTAAAGGCTGTACGTTTACAGGCGAGGCGCAAAGAGTCATTTTTACTCCGAATAGAACCTGCTATTTTTTTTTCAAAATTCACAAATAATTTTTAAACAATTTCAGACGTTTCAAATAATATAAAAATATTTAAAAGTAATACCTTGTAAGTAGACAAGACACCGCATGACATTAGTCTATGTTTGACACTTTATGTCAGTTTAATATATTTTCGTACTCTTATGCTTACTTTTAAAAGTGCTTGACTTTTATGCCTAGGCTTTAAAATTACTTTTATATATTGTCAATCACGTCGCAAAAATTAATGCTTTTGTAACGCGTTTGAAAAAAATATATTTTTTATCTCCGTATGTGATGTCCAACCAGTTGCTTTAAGCTTGATTTTCATCCGTTTTCCGACGATACGATGATAAGATATTAATTTTATTGGTTGAATTTAAAGACTTCGATTGGTTAGAAAATTAGGCAGTTTTTAAATTTATTGCAATTTCATGCCTCCGTTCATCGGGTATACGATATGCTTGTGATTGGTGTCATTTTATATTTTCATTTCCATAACGATTTCGCTGGTTTGCTTGTAGTCTAAGAGCTAGCAATGTTTTCGAGGGAGAATTTTAAGAAAGCTGGTTCTTTAATATATCTTTTGCTATGCTCTCTTAAACAGAGTGCGGACCGTCTGGCTGCCGATAGGCACATTTACAATTCCTCCTATGTGACACCGATTGCTCGTTTCTACCAACTTTCCACTTTTTTTTACGATCTTCTGAAAAAATACCAATTTAAGGGCGGAAACACATGACAAAGTTTTAACAAGCTTAGTTTGTTGTCTGCTCTAAAATATTCCATTACACGGGCTGCAGCAGAATTTGTGACCTTTTTTTTTTGTTTTGGTGGCAAACAGTGAGTCATCATTTGGTCACCAGCGACAATTTTAGCGATTTTTAATAGTTTGTGTGTAGTAAACTTTGTATAAACTTTATTACAATGGTGATTAGTTGTTCAGCTTTCAAGTGTAAAAGCAGCAGCGATAAGAAAGAGCCAGGAGTTACGTTTCATAGGTAAATAAACAGTCTACTCCAACTTTTTAGCGTTTTCTTATTGAATTCGATAATTTTATTATTCTTCAATTTCAATTAACATCTATATGTACTTGATATGTGCCATAATATCTCGATACTAGTTTTGTACCTTTTGTTAACATCTTAATACGTTTTTTTCGTAATTAATTAGGATGATACACCATAGGCGTAGTCAAAACAATTATCAAAAAATATAAATATTGCTTCAAACAGCTAGGTTAAGAAAAATATGTGCCACGGCACTGTTTGGTGACAGCGTCACAATTTGCTCTCGGGTGTTATTTGTCCTTGGATTCTTTAGTCATTGGTTATTACATTGTTGGTGATAAATTAAATATTAGTATTGTGAACATTTTATTCCACCCGACTCTAGTTCGACATATGCTCAACGAATTGTGATCCTAAACCGACCAATCAAATGTAACGTTTCAGGCATCCGCGTCCGCTTCTCGCATACAACAAAAATTTTGTTTTTTAGGAAGCATCGCGCTGAACATCTAGGTGCGTGGCGAGGTGCGAGGCTCCAGTATGTTTTGACACATAAATTTGTACATGTTTGATTCAGTATCGCCAGATGGCGAGGTGAATGGCGCGCATCGCATCGAGATGAAATGCCCCGCACTATGTTTGTACGATAGTCGCGATGCATCCTACGCGCACTTACTCGCCGTGTTAAAACAGTGCGCGTCGGATGCATCGCGGCTAGCATCCTGGCGAGCAGCGCGGCCAGCATCTTGGCGAGCATCGCATCGAGATGCCTCACTATGTTTGCGCCCTAACACTAGATTAAAATAAACAGTGAAAGTTGATCCATGTTGAGACTACTCAAGTACTCAGATTACTAAAAATTATATCTATCCAAATCAAACAAGGTTTGAACATCATCACTTTATGGCGCATATCTTACGTTAAAACTCAGACAATGGATTTAGGATGGCCAGACCTGGATCTTAAAATTAAAAAAAGCATAAACTGTTTTTTTTAATAAAGGGACACAAATAATACAAACATATATTTCATTATTCTATTAAAAGCATATAGAATATATTATATAAAAACAGTATAATTACGTAGTGATATTCAAAAGTATAAGTTAATGGAGTAATTTATCATAAATAAATGCAACAGTTAACGTTATTAAGCCAATTTTGTTTCAGCAAACATATTTAGATTCATAAAAAAGTAGCAAAGTAATGTGAAAATCGCATCATTATATCTCTACTCATAAATGAGAAATCCCATAAAGCACACGAAAATGGGATAGTCTGTAAAGATGTGATGGACAGAAGTGAAACGCAGTAGTCTACCGGCAGCCAGACAAACTATGTTCAGGAGAGCATAGCAAAAGATATATTAAAGAAACTTTCATAAAATTCTCGTTTTCCCAACGGGGCTAGCTCTTGTACTATTTATATTTTTATTAAGGTTAGATTAAATTTTTCAAAAAAGTGTCAAAACGACCGTTATCGTACGTTCTTTCTCCGTTGACGAGCTGGAGTAAAAAATTTAAGGATAAAAAGTAGCGGCGAAAATCCTATGACCAATCAGAGCGCCGTCGGACCATCGAATCAACGGATAACGGACACATGAAAATCAAGCTTTAGACAGATCGAACGTATCGACTTTCTTTAAACCAATTTTAACGAATATAGGATAGTACACCAAGGCTGCCAAGGTTTAGGATAGTATAATAGAAAAATTATGATATATGAAAGTTATTTTTATCTCCAAAAATGTAATATTCTACCGGGTGTTCCATTTAAAATAGCATAAGTTAAAAAATACAGTTATACTGTAACGCTGAAAAGAATTTAGATGGTGACAGCTGCTTTTATTTGTGATGGTGACAGCTGCGTTTATGTAAAAATCCAAACTTTGTAAAAAAATCCCATCACCGATTCTCCACAAACCTCTGACCTAATGGTAGGTTATAGTAGTATTACTCCAAGTAGTTGTGTATTACTCCATATTATATGTGCATATTTATAAAAAATACATATTTGTGTTTCCTAACTTAAAAGCTTGTTACTTTTTACTTAAGATGAAAAATAATATTTCTAATCCTTTCCATTCTGTGTTAAACGTTTCCTCGATAGCTCAGAATAATAGGGCTTTTGTTGAAAATTAATCGAAAGGCGTAGTCGAGTGTTTTATCGCCTTTCTACAAGAGAGGACACTCGGTGCGATTTAAGTATCTCGACACGGTCTCTCCCAGTCTTCGATTAGCCACAGCTCAATGAACGATTTTCCAATGGCTTCCTTGCTTGAAAACAAACATTTTCCAAATCGAGTATTGCAGTTTAAGATTTATATTAAATTGGATTATTTATCACTAAAAAATAGACTTTAATTTAACCATAATGTTTTATAAACCATAATATGCCAAAATTAGTGAAAAAAAACAAAAAATGGTTATTTTAAATTTCCAGTAAAGTATTTTTTGTGCCGGTAGGAAAATTACTTAAAATAGTTAGGAATAGGTTAGAACAAGTTCAAAATTTAAAAGATAGAAAAAAATTAAACATAGATAGTATTTTGGAATTGTTGACACTTTGTGTTAAAACTACTTATTTTCAATTAAATAACGATTTTTTTCACCAAGATTTCGATATGGCAATGGGATTACCTCTCTCTCCTTTGCTAAGTAATATTTTTATGGAAGATTTTGAAAATATTACAATAAATAGTTTTTCAAAAAAGCCTGTAATATGGTTACGTTTTGTTAATGATATTTTTGTAATATGACAACAAGAAAAAATTTCTGAAATAGACATGTTTTTGGTTTATATAAATTCTCGCGAACCAACAATAAAATTTACTTTAGTAGTAGAGAGAGATAATCATTTGCCCTTTCTTGATGTTTTAGTGTGAAAGTTTCAAAATAAACTTATTTAAATGTTTACAGAAAACCCACGAATACAGACAGATACTTAAATTTCACATATAATCACAGTATAAGTATAAAAAAGGTGTTATAAAAAGTTTATATATATTACGATTATATTATACGCGTATATATAGTTTACGATTTATGTCAAAAAAATTAAAAGAATATGTTTATGTTAAATGACAATATCTTCAGAACTATTGTGTCTATTGCAACGTAAATTGGTAGTTTTATATTTTTGACCTCGGCCAATTAAATGCTAACACACAACAGTCAAGCTTTTGTTTTCTTAAGGCCGCCACTTTGAATTTTTATACTATTAGATAGAGTGAAAAAAAAGTATATACGGTGGTATCTAAATTTTAATCAATATTATGTAAATTCACTAAAAAATATATTTTTTAAAAATTCACCTAAGATCAAATCTGCCTTGGAAATCCAATTGACACTTTATATGACAGCAAGTTAATTTTTGTTTACTCTATGTGCCAAATCTGGACACACAAAAATTTATAGTAGATAGTGTAAAGTGTATTAACAGTCAACAATATGTTCACAAGGAAACACGAGATATGTATGATGTTTACTTAAGAAATAATATAAATTACGATATGCTGCTTACGGTTGCGAGAAATTTAGCAGTTGCTGGTAGATTACAGTTGAGGGTTGGAACCTTTGGTGTTACACAGCAAAATAAAACACTAAATCACCACAATATACCAAAACAATTACTTTTACACTGGACGCGCGTTTCACTAACCATGTTAGCATCATCAGCGGATGATTATAAACTCAATAGTTTATAATCCTCTTATCCCAGTTATCCCAGTTGTGCGAAATAGAAGGC